CTCTCCTCTGTGTGAGTGCAGCACACCACTAGGTACAACTGTAATACAAATTATTAGTACCAGCAACAATGTTCAGCTGTTTGAGACTGGGAAAAAAAACCCTTCCCCCTTATAAAGAAAAAGTGATTAAAAAAAAAACATTAATGCTGGAATAGTAGGAAGCATAAGCTGAAATTTGGCATGCAAACAGACTTCTGCCATAATAAGTGCCTTTAAATATTTTGGTGAAAATATTTTTGTTCTGACCAAGTTATTGCCCCTTTGAAAAAAAAAATCACACACCATATATGCCCAGTAAATATTGCACAGATTTCTCACTATGTTATGCTACTAAAGAAGTTCTTGCCATGCATACATATGTCTAAGTTAGATGTGCTGTGAAAAAATGTACAGAAAGTACACACACAAAAAGAGGCAAGGCCTCTGCATCTGGGAAAGTAAAAGCTGAACTACTCCAAAATTAGCAGTAGAGCCTTTCTCCTGCAGAAATTCCATCAGAACTAAGTGAAAAGAACATTAAAGCTGCACAGTTAAGCACTCAAAAGTCAGGAAATGACAAAGTTAAATCTGTACATACAATCTTAACTCACAGCCTACACTGCAATCTAATTATCACATAATTTCACAAGATATAGAATTTTCTTTATAATTTTAGATATACACATGTAGCAACTTGTAATTCTTCATTCTTGAATATGTATAGCATTTTTATTATGTATAGTCCAGTATATTTTGGTTGATTTAAGCCACTGACTTCAATAGAAGCTGAAAAGTGCTCTGTACCTCTGAAAAAGTCTGGCCACTTATTTAAGGTGCCTAAACATAGATTTAGGTATTTAACTTTACACATCCAAGTTTGAAACTCCTGGTCTACATGAATATATGTGTTTAGAACAATTCATATTAAAACCACTGTTAAATGAACACAGAACTTACAACTCTGAAAGTCTCATGCAGTTTTATAAAGAGCTGCACTTTCTGTACCACAAATTACTGCCAAAAGGACAGCTTCCTGTTTTCCTTTTATTTAAGAGTGATTTCTGTTTGTAATTAGCTTGTGATTAGGTGATATTTTACATTCCCTCTCTCCACCTTCATCTAAAACATCGAGGACCAGATTTTTAAAGGTATTTAGGTGCCTAAAGATGCAGATAGACACCTAGTGGGATTTTCAAAATTGCCCAGGCATCAAATCTCAATGGGATCTAGACACCTAGATGCTTTTGAAAGTCACATTAGGCACCTATCTGAATCCTCAGGTGCCTAAATACTTTTTGAAAATCTGACCCTGAACCTCCAGTAGTGTGCTGGCCCCTGAACACCATGCTGGGACTTACAGTATTTACTTGGATCATAAACACTACTTCCTGCATCTGATGGGTATATCTCCCATTCAAGTTCCAACCCACCCCAATCCTGTTTAGTTTAAGAAATCCATCAGGACCACGCTCAAGGTACAATACCTCATATAATTAAAAAATATTAGAATGATCATGATACATAGTTAGTCCTTCTGTTACCATTAACCTGTCTTTGTGAGTTGTTTCTGATTTATATACACAAAGTAAAATATTAAGTAACTACATACTGCTGGAGACCTCAGTCTTAGCTTCAAGTAAATAAAGGTACTCCGCTTGCATATAAATCTAAACAACATCCTATTTTAACAAGGTACTAAGTGTTTTTCTGAATGAGTATAATTTACAAAAGTAAAGCAAGTTAACACACTTTGTTCATTAAATGTGCCACTGGATTCTCAGCAGAAAGAAATATTTGCATGTTTCAAGGAAGTTTATCATCAATCACTACAAATGAACATACCATACAGTGCTCAATACTTATCTACAGCTTTTTTCCCCTTTCTTTTGCTGTCAGCAGTTTGAACAGGGCACTAATTAAAACCAGACCATCTGTTCTTTGAAAAAGTATACATACATGTTCTTGTTAAATTTCCATTTCACCTTAGTCAACCTTATTTTGTTATAATCTCAAAACTTCATGCATGGAGGAAAAGTAAAAATATTACACACTGGTTTCAGTTCACAGGGCTGATTTGTACTCTATATTACTTCTGAATTGTTCATCTTTTTAAAAAGGAAAGTAAATATGTGAGGTATTGATTCTGTAGATATATAATCACCATATACTGCTACATTAATCACTTACAAACATTTTACAAGGATAATGCATGGTGTCTACTATTTTTAGTGCTAGATGGCATTGCACCCATGAGAATACTTTAAATTTACTTCTGAACCCTTCATTTGTAGTGGCTTCCCCTCCATTTGCCCAAACTGCATCATTAATGTTGTTCTCTCTGTGTGAGAAAGTGTGTTTACAACTTAGAATTTGAAAATACATAATTTAAACACTTCACATCTTTTCTTTGCTTCCATATACAATACCACTTTTGTAGCTTTAAAAAGGCAAAAACAGTTAATTACTAGCTGTAATTTCAACTAATTCCCAACACAAAATAAACCCTTCCATTTTACTAAACAAATCCAAACTAATTTATTTCTGCAAACCTTGATAAGTTGTCCAAGCCCATCAATGAGTCACCATTTTAATTATACTGTACATTCTTCTAACATTGAATATCCAGTACTTACTGTTAATTTGGATACTAAGGGCCAGATTTTCACCAGTATGCTCCAGATAATCCGCTGGTGGGCCGCCAGACAGTTTGTTTACATTTGCACAGCCGCCCGCAGCTCCCAGTGGCCGCAGTTCACCGTTCCCGGACAATGGGACATTCCCGGGCTGCAGGGACGTGCTGGCTGCCGCTTCCCACAGCTCCCATTGGCCAGGAATGGCAAACCGCGGCCACTGGGAGCTGCGGGCGGCTGTGCAAAAGTAAACAAACTGTCTGGCAGCCCTCCAGCGGATTACCCTGACGGGCCGCGTGCGGCCTGTGGGCCGCAGGTTGCCTACCACTGCTCCAGATGCTCTGCATAGCTCTAGCAACACTCAAACTGTGGGTTTCAGTTATCACATTACGAAACAGGGTAATAAACCACTTGCTTTGAACTTACTGGCAACAGAACATTGTTCAAAATTAGGGCTGTCAAGCGATTAAAAAATTAATCGTGATTAATTGCGTGATTAAAAAAGTTAATCGTGCGATTAATTGCACTGCTAAATAATAATAGAATACCACTTATTTAAATATTTTGGATGTTTCTCACATTTTCAAATATATTGATTTCAATTACAAAATGCAAAGTGTACAATACTCAGTTTTATATTTTTTTATTTCAAATATTTGCACTGTAAAAAAAACAAAAGAAATAGTATTTTTCAATTCACCTGATACAAGTACGGTAGTGCAATCTCTTTATCATGAAAGTTGAACTTACAAATGTAGAATTATGTACCATAAAACCCCTGCATTCAAAAATAAAACAATGTAAAACTTTAGAGCCTATAAGTCCAATGAGTTCTACTTCTTGTTCAGCCAAAAGCTCAGACAAACAAGTTTGTTTACATTTGCAGGAGATATTGCTGCCCGCTTCTTGTTACAATGTCACTTGTTAAAATGTCGCCTTGTTACAATGTCACCTGAAAGTGAGAACAGGCGTTCACATGGCACTGTTGTAGTTGGCGTTGCAAGATATTTACATGCCAGATGCGCTAAAGATTCATATGTGCCTTGATGCTTCAACCACCATTCCAGAAGACATGCGTCCATGCTGATGACGGGTTCTGTTCAATAACAATCCAAAGCAGTGCGGACCGACGCATGTTCATTTTCATCATCTGAGTCAGCTGCCACCAGCAGAAGATTGATTTTCTTTTTTGGTGGTACAGGTTCTGTAGTTTCCACATCAGAGTGTTGCTCTTTTAAGACTTCTGAAAGCATGCTCCACACCTCATCCCTCTCAGATTTTGGAAGGCACTTCTGATTTTTAAATCTTGGGTCGAGTGCTGTAGCTATTTTCAGAAATCTCACATTGCTATCTTCTTTGCATTTTGTCAAATTTGCAGTGAAAGTGTTCTTAAAATGAACAACATGTGCTGGGTCATCATCGGAGACTGCTATAACATGAAATATATGGCAGAATGCAGGTAAAACAGAGCAGGAGACATACAATTCTCCCCCAAGGAGTTCAGTCACAAATGTAATTAACGCATTATTTTTTTAAATCAGCACCATCTACTTGGAAGCATGTCCTCTGGATCAATGGCCGAAGCATGAAGAGGGCAGATGAATCTTTAGCACAACTGGAACATAAATATCTTGCGACACCAGCTACAACAGTGCCATGAGAACGCCTGTTCTCGCTTTCAGCTGACATTGTAATTAAGAAATGGGCAGCATTATGTCCTGTAAACAACTTGTTTCTCTTAGTGATTGGCTGAACAAGAAGTAGGCCTGAGTGGACTTGTAGGCTCTAAAGTTTTACATTGTTTTGTTTTTGAGTTCAGTCATGTAACAAAAAAACTACATTTGTAAGTAGCACTTTCATGATAAAGAGATTGCATTACGGTACTTCTATGAGGTGAACTGAAAAAAAATACTATTTCTTTTTGTTTATCATTTTTACAGTGCAAATATTTGTAATAAAAATAATATAAAGTGAGCACTGTACACTTTGCATTCTGCGTTGTAATTGAAATCAATATATTTGAAAATGTAGAAGAGCATCAAAAATATTTAATAAATTTAAATTGGTATTCTATTGTTTAACAGTGCGATTAATTGCAATTAATTTTTTTGAGTTAATCGCGTGAGTTAACTGCAATTAATCAACAGCACTATTCAAAATATATTTTGTAAAAATAGTGCAGGTTTATGGGAATTTTTTCCTTTTTCTCTAGTGCTGTTCAAAGTGAAGAGAAAAGCTAGTATAGCTTTTTTTAAGTTCTGCAAGTGCATTAAAAATCCCTTTTTAAAGTAAAAGAAAATTGAATGTTACACATTAAATACTTCCTTTCATTTTTTTTTTAAATTACCCTACTTTTCTGAGAAAAGTAGACAGGGAAAGTAAGTTACTTACCAATTTAGCTATAATGAGTGCATCATTCATTAAATCCAAGAGAGGAGTCTCTGTATGAATATTGTAGAAGGAATAGGCAGCTTTGAGGCTTTTATGAACAGGGTGGTGCATAACGGTTGAAGGTAACGTGTAGAAACTCAGGAAATCGGTTAAAATACCATTTGAACTCTGGGGAAGAAAAAAGTCATTGAATGAAGAATCAATTTGTAATTAATTAGCTACAGTTTTAGCCCTCACCCTGCGCAGCAGATATTTTGGGAAATTACAAATACTAGCTGCCAGAAGCCTACCCTTCAGGTGGCATGGCTATCAGCACTGGTCTCTACCGCACATTCATCACAACTTCAAAAATTCTCTTGGTTAAAATCAGACGCACAGAATTGGTGCCCTCAGAACATCTTAATTTCATAAATAGAAAGGCAATGCTGGAGGGGACCTTGAGAGGTCATCTAGTCCATCCCGCCATATTAAAGCAGGACCGACCAAGTATACCTAGACCTTCCCTTGCACGTTTTTGTCTAACCTGTTCTTAAAAACCTTCAATGATGGGGATTCCACAACCTCCCTCGGTAATTTATTCCAGTACTTAACTACCCTTGTAGTTAGAAAGTTTTTCTAGTATCTAATCTAAATATCACCTGCTGCAAATAAAGACAATTATAGTCTCATAGACTTTAAGATCAGAAGGGACCAATATAATCGTCCAGTCTGACCTCCTGCACAACGCAGGCCGCAGAATCTCACCCACCTACTCCCGCAACAAACCCCTAACCTATGTTTGAGCTAGTGAAGTCCTCAAATCATGGTTTAAAGACTTCAAGGTGCAGAGAATCCTCCAGCAAGTGACCCATGCCCCATGCTGCAGAGGAAGGCGAAAAACCCCTAAGGCCTCTGCCAATCTGCCCTGGAGGAAAATTCCTTCCCAACCCCAAATATGGCGATCAGCTAAATCCTGAGCACGTGGGAAGACTCACCAGCCAGACACCCAGATAAGAATTCTCTATAGTAACTCAGATCCCACCCCATCTAACATGCCCAATGGCCTGTGATGGGATATTTACTGCTAATAGACAAAGATCAATTAATTGCCAAAATTAGACTATCCCATCATACCATCCCCTCCATAACCTTATCAAGCTCAGTCTTGAAGCCAGGTATGTCTTTTGCCCCCACTGCTCCCCTTGGAAGGCTGTTCCATAACTTCACTCCTCTGATGGTTGGAAACCTTCATCTAATTTCAAATCTAAACTTCCTGATGGCCAGTTTACATCCATTTGTTCTTGTGTCCACATTGGTACCGAGCTTAAATAATTCCTCTCCCTCCCTGGTATTTATTCCTCTGATATATTTATAGAGAGCAATCATATCTCCCCTCAGCCTTCTTTTGGTTAGGCTAAACAAGCCGAGCTCTTTGAGTCTCCTTTCATAAGACAGGTTTTCTATTCCTCGGATCATCCTAGTAGCCCTTCACTGTACCTGTTCCAGTTTGTATTCATCCTTCTGAAACATGCGAGACCAGAACTGCACACACTATTCCAGACAAGGTCTCACCAGTGCCTTGTATAACGGTACTAACACCTCCTTATCTCTACTGGAAATACCTCGCCTGATGTATCCCAAGACCGCATTAGCTTTTTTCATGGCCATATCACATTGGCAGCTCATAGTCATCCTGTGATCGACCAATCCTCTGAGGTCCTTCTCCTCCTCTGTTACTTCTAACTGATGAGTCCCCAGCTTATAACAAAAATTCTTGTTATTAATCCCTGAATGCATGACCTTGCACTTTTCACTATTAAATTTCATCCTATTACTATTACTCCAGTTTACAAGGTCATCCAGATCTTCCTGTATGATATCCCGGTCCTTCTCTGTATTGGCAATACCTCCCAGCTTTGTGTCATCCGCAAACTTTATTAGCACACTCCCACTTTTTGTGCCAAGGTCAGGAATAAAAAGATTAAATAAGATTGGTCCCAAAACCGATCCCTGAGGAACTCCATTAGTAATCTCCCTCCAGCCTGACAGTTGACCTTTCAGTATGACCCGTTGTAGTCTCCCCTTTAACCAGTTCCTTATCCACCTTTCAATTTTCATATTGATCCCCATCTTTACCAATTTAACTAATAACTCCCCATATGGAACCGTATCAAATGCCTTACTGAAATCAAGGTAAATTAGATCCACTGTGTTTCCTTTATCTAAAAATCTGTTACCTTCTCAAAGAAGATCAGGTTGGTTTGGCATGATCTACCTTTTGTAAAACCATGTTGTATTTTGTCCCAATTACCATTGACCTCAATGTCCTTAACCACTTTCTCCAATTACTTCTTGTCCTATCTTCCTATGAACAACTGATCACTGTCTTCTTTTGTAACAGCTGTGACAAAGTTCCTCCTCTACCTTAGTGGGTCCTGCGCTTATTGGCGGATTTGCTCGCTTCACAGATTCACCCTGTGGGTTAGGAAACAGTCCAGAGACCTTCCCCTCTGGTAGAAGCTATAGTCCAGGTCAATTCCTCCTGTGTTTGATCAGGAGTTGGGAGGTATGGGGGGAACCTGGGCCCGCCCTCTACTCCGGGTTCCAGCCCAGGGCCCTGTGGACTGCAGCTGTTTAGAGTGCCTCCTGGTACAGTTGCACGACACCTACAACTCCCTGGGCTACTTCCCCATGGCCTCCTCTCAACACCTTCTTTGTCCTCACCACCGGACCTTCCTCCTGATGTCTGATAAGGCTTGTAGTTCTCAGTCCTCCAGCAGTACGCCTACTCACTCACTCTCAGCTTCTTGCACACCTCTTGCTCCCAGTTCCTCACACACACTTCCTCTCCCCTGGCTCCCCCTGGCTTGACTGGAATGAGCCCTTTTATAGCATCAGAGGGGCCTTAATTAGAGTCAGGTGCTTAACTGCCTCACCTGACTCTTAGCAGGTTAATTGGAGTCAGGTGGTCTATTAGCCTAGAGCAGCCCCTGCTCTGGTCACTCAGGGAACAGAAAACTACTTATCCAGTGGCCAGTATATCTCCCTTCTGCTACTCTGCTGTTCCCAACTGGTCTGGGTCTATCACACAGCCCTTAACATATCTGAAGACTTATCAGTCACCCCTCAGTCTTCTTTTCTCAACATTTTCCCAGTTCTTTGGAAAAGAAAATGTTTTGCTTTTTGACAGCAATTTTTTGCGGAAAATATGTAGCATATTTAGATCAGCTCTAGTGATTCACATTGAACAAGTATACCAAATTGCAAGATAGTAGCTCAAAAGGGCTCTTGAAGTGTGATAAGGGAGATGTCAAATTTTTTAAGGAACTCTGATGTAAAGTTCAAATATCAAATATGAGGATGTCTCTGCTGAACTCTGTATCACAGAGATGAATTAATTATGGGCCTTAAGAAAACACCTCCAATGATTCTGCACAATCATTAAGGATGCTAGAAATGTTAATTCAGTGATTATGAGCTTTATTAAGGTCTCCCCTTTCATTTTGCTATGGTCTCTAGTACCAACATTTTGAATTTAAAACAAAACAAAGCCTTTGGCCGTTTGTGCTGTGAAGGCAGACTTCTTAACATGTAATTGCAATCTAACTTTTCTGTAGTTTCTTTCATCCTAAGAGGATTTCTAAGCACTAGCAAACAAATTTAATATAGTGACTAGCAGCTTTCAATGGAACTTAGGTTTCTAAGCCACATGGGTCATTTTGAAAATTTTACCCACAAGAATAGCACCAAGAGGTGTGAACTTAAACTATTAAATTGAGTATCAGATTACATTTGAAGCAGATTTATCTGATACTGGGACTCTCCACATAAATAGGTGCACCTGAAATCAACTAAGCAGGATTTAAATTTTGTGCTGGCCTGCTGTGGAGTTCCTATTTGACATCTGAAGGAATGACATCAGACCGCAATCAGATTCCCATTTCCTCATCTCAGTCATTTTAGCAGCTCCTTTCTTTCTGGAAAAGCAGATTCGAATATTAATACTTATAATCAAATTGTTTTTTTCCAAAAAGGGGTGGTGAAAAGCAAACAAGATTTTTAAAAATGTAGAGTGCCTCCCAGATGGTCATCACTTTCAGAGTTTTAGAATTCTTATTTAAACAACCTGTTATATTACCACTGCAGTCCATACAGACGCCAAAAATAAGTGTTTTCTTATCATGCAATTAGAATATTAGAATGTACAATAATGTTTACTGTTCTCTGTTTAATATAAAGAACAAAATGGAGAAACTATGTCAAGCTCCACAAATGCTACATGGCAAGGTTAAGTATAGATCATGGCTCTGAATACACTAGAAAGCCCTCTTGTTTCTCATGGTAGTTATCTTGATGCCATCAAAACTCTAATGTCAATATAGCCTCACATTAAATTACCTGTGTAAAATTACTGGGGAGGCAAGGGTGGAATTTACATATACCTCATTTACATTGTTAACCCATGTTTTTACCTCAACTACAAAGGTGTCAATAATATGATCCTGAGGCAGGAACCAGTGGGCTACCTCTTCTTCATCCATTACAGGAGCAAGATTAAATTGCTTCAAGTAACTGTTGATCAGTTCTTGCACTGCTTTAATGTCTTTTTGTTCCATTGGTCTCAAACCTGAAGTCTTCGTGGCCTTGTTATAATAAAAAGAAAAAAAAAATAAGATGTTGAAAGGAGGAATTTATTTACAAAATATGTGAAAGTAGGTTACAGAGCGTACTCCATTTGCTATAGAATATTCATTATTAGCCTACTTTACTCTAGCATTATAATTCATTATGCCAATTTACAAACTGCCTTCAATCAATATTCCCTACCTTCTAATTACTGAGACAGTCTAGGGCATGTCAATCTTTACATACCATTACTAGTACTACTTCATTTCTCCAGGGAAACAGACACTGTTGACTGTAGCGTAAACTACAAACATAGTGTGTTCCTTTTTTAGTTTGATCATTACTACTTTTCTTCTAAATTATTTAGGGTCCAGAAAAAACCCTGATTATCAGTAACTGACCAGAAGACAAAAATATGTTGGAAACCAAGTAAAAATTACTTTCTCTTGTGTGTTTATATTTGGTCAGCAAACATTTAACATGAAAATTTCCAGCTACTATTACCTCTCCAAACTAGCTTGTTGTCTAAATTTTCTATGCAGACATAACCATTTTTCTACTCATGAGAAAGCCCTTCTCATATAAATTAAGGCCATCCTGGAATTACTAATCTACAATATATTTTTGAAAACAAGATATTTTACAGAGAGACTTTATACAATGGAGAAAAAATATTTCTAATACATTGTAATTAACATTTAGATGTGTGGCAAGCAACTGAATCTTATTTTCTCCAACACATTTTTGTTAATTATCCAGCATATTTCTTCATTAAACAAAGGTTCATTCTCTTTCAGAGCGTATCTGCTTCATCATTCAATGAAGTCATATAATGAATTTGTTTAACGTTAGTCATTTTTCATGGTAACGTGGCAAGGTCAAATACAGGGGGCCCCAATTTTCAGGCTGGCTCTTACAACTTTGCCCAATTCCAGCAAAGCAGTCAGAAAACTAGCTTAACGGATCCCTGAGGATGCCCCTTGTGGAAGATGGATCACTGAGTGGTGTAGAACTAGTGCAGCTGCCCATATAGAGAGTGTGCCTGCAGGGAAGGAAGCCTGGCTGGGGCATCCTTGAGTCCCAGAAATCCTCAGCTGCTAAAATAGCCTGAGGCAGTTTGGACATGCTGGGGAACAGTCCAGAACACAGCCAACTACAGGACTAGGGAACAATTTGTGGCTTAAAGCCACTTGCCTCCTGCCCCACATCAAACTGCTCTGAGTGGCAGTTCTAGCCCAGGATTTTGATCTCCTGGCAGAAGGAGGTATGAAAACAAATGTCTGAAACAACAACAGATTGGCAAGGTGTGTTCCTTTTGGTATACTTTTTCCTCACTTTCAGTTTGTCTTAAAAGTCCCCTATTAAGTAACTATATACTTGGAAAGTGAAAAATACCCAAGAAGCTTTGTTTAGAGTAACATTTTGTTAATATAATCACAATATTCTTATATGATTTCAAACAGATCTTCAGAGTAGACAGTAAAAAATATCAAAAGTTGTGTTGCTAACTATGCTGAGCTCCAGGCCACCACCACATCTTCACAGCTCATTTTAGCTGCACTAGTTAGATTAAAGCTAGTGCTAGGCCTATCTGAGCTGCAATCACATGTCCAATTACAGCACAGACATATCTTTAGGTACAAGGATCTTAAGTTCTCTTGACTTTCTGAGAGACATAGGCTGCTAAGTGCTTCTGTCACTTTTGAAAATGGCACTTAGGTGCTTTGGAAATTTTACTCAGAAGTTATTGTCTGTGTACAGTGCTGCATACATGTCCTAATCTCTTCCTAGGTGTGTTTCTAGGGCTTATTTCCCCCCTCCCCATACTTTATTTTTCTTCTATTGTAGTCTGTAACTTATGAATTAGAAAGATTGGTTAGAATAAGAGTTGTATATTTTCTAATAAACCCCATTCATTTATGAACCTTGTCTATATGAGAAGAATAGAAATGCCACCAAACCCTATATCTGAATTATCTACTGGATTTTTAGCATCTAAAAATTATTTCAAATTTGACTAAAGTTAGACTTAGTTCTTTGGGCCTAAAAACTAAATTAATTTAGTTATTCATTTTTAGGCTCTGCCAACTACTGCACTGCACACAGTGAGAGCGCATGTGTGCGCAGCATGGGAAGTGGGTCACACTGATAGCATTATGTACTGAGACACAAACAATGGACTGTGCTGTGCAGGGGAGCATCTAGTATAGTGTTGATGCTATAAAAGTAATCAGCATCTGTGACATCAGACCAAACAATGATGGCAGACATGGCTGTCCAAAGGCAGGTAAGTCATTATGGAAAAACTTGGAGGGGGCGGAGGGGAAGATTTTTATCCAAAGAAAAGACATGCACAGTACAAAGCATTTCCTGAACTACAATTTGCTGAAACAGTTCACTGTGTGGAGAAAACATTCTCTGGCAAATTGGGTTAAAATGCTTCTTGGCATTGCCTTATCAACATTTTAGGATGCTTTCTTTGTAAGAAATTCAGGTAATAAACTGTGAATTTCCTACTCCATTAAAAATGATATATTAATTGGATGAAAAATTAATGGTATACAGTTGTAAAAAGTGTGTGTCTTCAGTTTGTGGTTGAATGGGATTGAGCTGAAGTTTACTTGGGGAGTTTTTTAAGGTCTCTGGTATTTCTAAATAAACTCATTTACACTCTTGTAATTCCCTTCCCAACCAACAAATATGTTTTTACATGGTGTAAATGCTTTCCTTCCAAAATGAAAAGCTTGCCTTGTAGGAGACAGATGGAAGGGTATTTTGGGCCTCACAATAACTGTGAGGGTTCTCTAGGCAGATACATTGCTTACATCGGGAAGTCTGTAGAGCTTCATTGTTCTTTGTAAAGTCATATTTCTACTCAAATGTGAAAATTTCACCTCTACCAATTTTCTGGGGTTCAGTGATCGATGCCAGTACCTGGAAATACAATTTAAAATACATGTTAATATAATTACTAATTTTAATAATATATGTTTTATATATATTTCATCTAATCCCTGCCTCCCAAAATTAAACAATTGCATCTAAGGAGCAATCCTATATCTATGGGGGGCTTGAGCAGTAGCTAAACAGCCCAATAAAGTGTCGACACTACACCTTTTAAACTTGTGAATGACCATAGTATGGTTGACTATCATCGTTTGTACCCACACACATTTTTAATACTGAGATTAGTAATCAGGGCAACTTCACTCTTGTCATAGCCTTGGTTGTCTTCACAACACTCATTTTGCTGTACGGACAAGACCCTCTGTTTGTCTGTGTAAGCAGTTTTTTGGGAGGGCCTTCTCCTGCCAGCTGTCTCTGTGATAGAACACCTTTGAATACCCAGCATCAAAGGAGGGAAAATTATGGTGAGGGATAGCAAAACCTATACCTACTCTTCCCCCCAAAAAAGACTCATGGTATTTCTGATGTCCATAAACTGCAAACAAGATTTCAGCTTTTAAAATTTAATCCAAAGAACTGCACAGAGCTTGGTTATCTACCAGAAGAATTAAGGGCTGAGCCAACTCTACAGTGATTTGAACTTGTGGCAGCATAAGCAATATTGAATCCACTCCATGCAAACAAAGTTATACTGAACTTCAGACAAAACTTTTCTGACAGTACAGTTCTTACATCATTGTAAGATGCACAACAAACCTCCCTTTCTCCAGACAGGAGACCCTACAGGAAGATGTTTAAAAAGTAGTACCATATTATTCCCAGAAACTCTGTTCACCCCACCAGTCAAGAAATAGGTCACTTGAAAAATGTATGTACCGAAGTATACAACCTTGTCATTGCTAGCACAGTTTCTATCACAGTGCAGGCAGTGCCCCAAACAGAACTAGATTTTACTCCAAGAAATGTCTTTGTCCAAGGCATCACAAAGAAGTTGGCCATGTCCTCTGCATTAGAATCAAGTCCATAATGTTTACCAGAAGTTTACAGCAGAAAAATGAACATTTTTATTAGCTAGTTTGTGAAAATGACAAGGAATCCTCTTTAAAATGATCATTCTTGGGAGCAATGTTACTATGAACACCACCTAGGTTACCTGCATGTGGCCACAGGCTTGGGGAGTACCACTCCTGCAGTGTAAACTGCCTGAAAAATCCCTTCCAGGTTTACTCTTCTGGTTATTTCCCGAATCAGTACAGGTGCTACTCGTTTAGATCTCAATTTCTTGTGGACACAAAGAAAATTGATTTCTACCATTTTCTTCACACTAAAAGCAATTTAAATAACAAAACAGTTATAAAACTCACTAAAACATAGTATAGTCTTATTTATATAGTTTTATTTTCCATGTTGATAGTAAATTTCAGGTTATACAAGGTAGCTTCTCAAAAACATAAATAATGCTCATTTTAAAGTCTTCAACAGAAGGACTCAATTATGTAACAAAGGACTCTGATAAATCACTGAGATTTCTTATCCAATGTTGGTATATGCTCTTTGTATTTTACATACTTCTAAGCATACAGATCCAAATTTTTACCCTGGCTGCTTTAAGTTGCATCCTCAAAGTATACAACAAATGTTAATATTCTGTAACTGCATCTGGCAAGATGCCTAGGTTGGAGAATTTACCTGTAATACTCTTTAGATCTGTACCATGACCTGAATTGTGGCCTGGATTTAGGGCCTGGAAAGCAATCAAAGCAGGAGGAAAGAGATATCAAAAGGCTCCACAGCTCATATTCACAAGTTAATTATTCCAGTGCTCCAACCCTATGGAGAGAGCCCTGGTAAGTCTAACTGACCGAACATACACTTTACACTTTCCAATAGGCCAGAAAACATCAAGCAGCTCTTCACACCTTCTATCAAAAGAATGTTTCTGAGGTGGATATTTGTTTGCCATTAGTTTTAATTGGAAACTTCCAAAAGCCTTGTGAAAAATTTCAGATCTGTGTAAGGTTTCTTCTCCCTCTATGGTCAATGAGGCCTAGCACTCAGCTCTTCAATCAGACAATCCCCATCACGAAAGACAGTTCAAGATGTAGTATTTGTTTTTATTTATATTTATTTATATTTACCTGTCATAAATCCGAATGTGTGCAGGGATGGCGCTTATGAACCCTACCAATTTTTTGTTTGACGATACTCTAACTCCACAGTGCCATTGGGGTAGCCAGCCTGGAGGACGTAGTGCCCTAGAATCAGTGGCAGAAACCATTACAAATTAGTGTCCAAAAGAATGTGATCAAAACACCCTTCTTTGCAATCCAACACAGAAATTGCTACTCACCACATAAGAAACTCAGGTGAGTAGTCAAACCTAAACATGTTATCATCATCTTCTACGTAATTCTCATTTAATAATGTGTACAGTTCCTTTAGCTGAAAACACACATCAAAAAAGGAAGAATTTTATCTCACACATCAGCCAGAATGTTTCATCGAAGACTATGTGTGTACACACGATTTTACTTACAACTTCAGCATTGCTCAGGTCCAAAGTGTCCCACATAAAACCTTGTGGCAAAGAGTATGGCTCTAGGCGGACATTGTCCTTATCTGGTTCAATTGCACCATGAGAAGTTATAACTTCATCTGTTATAGAAAGGGAGGGGAAAAATTACATTACTAGCTAATTTGAAAATTAATAAGTTTGAAGTCACTTTACACAAGATGTAATGTAAAATTATGAAATCAGAATCTGAAGCCTTTTAAAAATGTTAAAAATAAGCTTTTGTTTGCTTACATTATTTCTCTGTTTTACAACTCACTCAAGTCAGCTAATACTTCAGCAGAGCTATTGTACAGAGGCTCAGAGCTATTCTACCGCAGTTTATATCTTAACATTTCATAATAGAGCACAATTGAATAGCAAATTATCAGCATGTATGTATCACTTAGTCAACTACTGAAAGCTGTATCTGGGGAGGAGTTCTGCAGTGAGATTCACAAGCTATGGTGCTGATCTTGCAAACATTGACTTATATGAACTCAATGGCACTACTCACATGCATCAGTGTTTGCAGGATCAGGGCATTTTATAGAATGGCTGCTGGTGAAATGAAAAAACTTTCATTTGTAAATTTAAAATTAAAATTGTGGTTACACTTATAGTTCTGGACTCGCTACTGGGTAATCTTGTCTTTCTCCACAACTTCAGAAGCAGGTAGACTGAAGATATTTTTTAAAATATAACAGGAGCCACTCTTCCTCTGTTGGATGGCTATTACACATCAGCCAACCAGCCCCAGAAGAGGCTTCCAAAGCTGAACAAAATTAGGAAATATATTATAACATGTTAATCATGCTTGTACAAATTATTGATAGCGTGTCAGACTATTGCAATCTTAGTTCTCATTAATACACCTGAATGACCAATAGGGTGCACTACGCAGCTTCTTTTGCAGAAAGAGCTTCTGTCAGGAGATTGCCCAATAGTGGTAAGGCCAGAATCACCAGCAGCTCCATGAAGACTCTGGATACAGAGAACCCTCCAGATACCATTGCTACAAAATGATAGTATACATAGCGGATCAAGACTACCTATAGGACTGCTGCTAGCAGTCTCGTCTTCGTACAAGGAGGGAAAACTTTCAAGTTTATGAACACAAAGATTCCTGCAACTATTTCTTGAAGCAGAAAGACTAATGCTTCCATCTGAAGTCAATCTTCAACACATTGAAGAAAGAGCTTCCTTCCCCAGCCCACACACTCAACACCTCAGGAGGAAGCTGAAAAATGTAAAGGTGTAGGCCATTTCCACTTCTCACAAATAGGAAGTAGAAGTGATTCAGCCAGGATGCTTAACAGAATATTCAAAGACCACTCAAATTCTACAAACTCTATTTCTATTAAGCAGCCCTTCAGAATCACTTCTAGATCCTATTTGTTGGTAGTTGCCCAGACATTTTTTTCCTCATCCTCCTAGACTGGCGAGTGATAGGACCAGCAAGCTCTCATCTCTGAGCTGGTGCTGAAGGATGTTCAAGGTATGACCTCACTGACTGCTGCCTAGCAAAATACATTCCAGTGCCGCATGTAGAGTGAAAGGACTACTAGTTTGAGGTGTTCTGAAAAGATGGCTAAAATTCCAAAAGCTGGATTTAGAGTCCCTCAGGGAATAATGTTGTGACATTATTTTGTTAAATTCTCAAGAATGCTGGAGAGCTTTACACAGAACACTACTTGGAGCCATCAAACAGCACTTTGGAGATGAAGTCTATGGACTCGTCTACACTACAAAATTAAGTTGACCAAAGTTTGGTCGACATAGAACCACCACAGTAATTATTGTAGTTTTTCATGTCCACACTAACTCCTTCTGTCAGCGGTGTGCATCCTCACCATCAGCGCTTGTACCGACTGAAGTGGGGCATTGTGGGGCCCTGACAGTTGGAGCCTCCCCACCACCATGGCTGACAGCTCAGAGTCCCGCCGCTGCCTCTTGGTGTCGGATGGAGAGGGGAGGGAGGAAGGAGAGCCCGATCCTGGCCCCCTCCCGGTGAGGGATTGGGGTAGGGGGTAAGGAGAGCCCGATCCTGGATACCTCCTGATGATGGATGGGGGCAGGAGGAGAGCCTGAGCTCAGCTGCCTCCCGGTGAGGGATTGGGGGAAAGGAGGAGGGGAGGTGAGCCCAGGCCTGGCTGCCTCCCAGTGAGGCATGGGGGTGGGGGAGAAGGCCTAGGTGGTGGCCAGGCTCAGGCTCTCCCGCCTCTCAATCCCTCACTGGGAGGCAGCAGCAGTAGTCCGGGCTGTCAGTCCCGTGCAGGGTTGACAGACAACAGGTGATATCAGTAATGCAGTGTCTACACAGACATTGCATCACCCTAACATTGACCTAAGTGTGACACCTTTTGCAGAGGTGGAGTTATTAGGTCGATGTAGTGGGCGACTTACATCGGTGGGAGCACCATTATAGTGTGAACACCTACAGAGTGTTAGCTGCCTTATGTCAACCTAATTCCGTAGTGTAGACCAGGCCTATAACCAGCATCCTAAGCAAGCTATTGGGATAACTTAGAAAGTGCAGTGAATTTTGTATTGTCATATGGATAATCATAAATAAAAGAGTTCCTGGGTGTTTCTTCACCTTTCCTGATTCTCTCCTTAACTTCCTATTTTTGGAGTGCACAACTTGAGCAGACCATAAGAGCAGGTGTTTGGGCTGTGACTATTGGGGCCAAGAGTCTCAGAGGCCATTGGAGACTAATTCACAGCCTTATTTTCTTAACAGTAAAATTTTTGTTGCTCACAACCATCTAGAGTTAAGCACCAGAAAGGAGAGCTGAGCTTGAGGACGGGAAATAGTTTGTCAGCTTTGCTTTAGAGCAGTGTTTTTTTGATGCTCTGCTAGTTAGATGTTTGTGACCACCATGAGTCCATGCAGAGTAGACTATTTTCTCCAGGGACTCAGATGTTATGATGCTTCATCCTGAGTGGACTTTTCTTAGTCTGAGGGCAAACAAATTCTTCAATCTCTATGATAGTGTGGACCAGGTCAATTTAACACATTTTACTGGAGTTAAAATGTCTTCCTAAGCCATGTGATTCTGGGAGATTTTTCCCTTCATAAGGGATCAGGCACCCCTGGTATGCCAGAGGTGGCCCCACAGAGGAGTGGGACTCCCAAAGGATGGTGATGTGGCTTCTTGACATTTCTAGTTTCTGTTGGATTAATTTTTCCTGGGTGCAGCAGCAGGGAGGAGAGAGGTGCTTGGTTCCTTCTCCAACTGTGAGGTGACTTCCCTGGATTGCAGTCTGTGATGAGTGATCCTAAAAACTCTGTTTGGGACGGAAACTCATTCAGTGTAAGAAGTCTAGAAAATTCTGTTTAGTTTTATGAGGGAGATTTTATCCCAAAGAAGAATACTTCCATACTTCCTAGGATCCAAGGCCTCTGAATTCAGACATGGTGCTAGATTAAAGATTCAAATATTTGAGTCCTTTTAGTCTTTGTACATTTTGGGTCAGTGCCTATGTGTTCCGTACACCACCTAGCTCATTTCTGGGTGGTACTGTAACATAAGTGTGACACAGGGGCCCACTGGTTTCACTACTCTGTGTCAGCAACTCTTATCAGGCTTGACATACTTCCTACACCTAACATACTGTTGTCATGATATATACCCAAAAGGTGGCCTGTAGTATATCACTGGAAAACGAACAATTCACTGATCATTAATATACTTGCATGATGTCTTTATAGCGTGTGAGCAAAGAGTTATAAACATGTGGTAGAATTACATTCTTAAAACGTTTTTGGCAAGCAATGAATAAGCCCAGTCTGCCCTAGACAAACGGATGTATACTTGCTTATCTAAACCGCCTGGTTGTCCGGCAGAAACAATGAAGATATATTTACATAAAAGGTAAACAAAGCCATCAAACTAGCAACTGGGGGAGATAGCCTTTTAACTATAAAGACAGGAGAACTGAATCTCAAATAAGAAGCAATTGAATCAGCTAACTGTATATAATATTACTGTATTATAAAAGTATATCGACTAAGGTCTTTTGTGAAAGCCTGTGACACACTGGTGATTAATAGCATTGTGAAATGTATGCATTAATACTATATGAGCAATTATGGGTACTCACTGATATTACACTTTAAAGTTGGTGACTACACACAGGGAGAAAAAGGTTTCCACCAAGACAGGAGGGAAGGCAGCTATCTACCTGTCTCCAGTGTAAATTAAGCAGTGTGGAATCAAAACAATGGAAGCCCATTTACATATGAATCAGCAGGAGAATAGAGACCGCACCCCCAAGAAGCATTCCTGCCTCTTGAAGGAGGACCAATGAACATTGGGAAGACAGCATGGCATCTACACGCCAGCAGGAGAGAGAAGTTTTGTCTAGGCTTACTTTTCACAGAATACATTTCAAAGGTTTACTGGACTAAAAAAAGAAAGGGGAGAGAACCCCATAGTTGTCCATCACTTGGGGGATTCAGGGGGCTGGAGCTCTTGAAATCACAGAACGTTGGGATCCTTCAACCAAGGGTGTTGAAGTCTCTGGGAATTGAATATAGGAGAGAAACCTGCTTAGACAAAGATTATAACTTGCTGACATTAAATACATCTTAGAAATGTATTTTTATTTTTGTTTGCTTGTAACCTTTTCTGTCTTTACTACTTATTCTTGGTATCACTTAATCCTACAGCCTTTTGTTAAATAAACTTGTTTCAGCTTTATTATAAATCAATTCAGTGCTGTGATTGAACTAAGAATGTTAGTCAAATGAATACGCTGCTGTTATTGTCTCCTTAAAGGAGCAGAGAACAATTTCTGTGAGTGTTCCATGAGAAGGATGGATACTGCAGGGAGACATCTCTGGCAAGCTAAGGAGATGGGGTTCACTGTTGTTTTACCTCCAAGGCAAGGTTTGGACTGGCAGAGTCACGAGGAGTTTACTGGTAAGGAAGACAAGCTGGTATGTCAGGGCAGTTGTCACACAGCTTAGCAGTAACAAAATTCTCACTTGCAGAAGTTGCGGGGGGGGGGGGGGGGAGAAAACAATAAAAAACAGTTACCCACCTTTTCGTAACTGTTGCTCTTCGAGATGTGTTGCTCATGTCCATTCCATTCTAGCTATGTGCGCGCCCACCTGCGCGGTCGTTGGAGATTTTTGCCTTAGCGGTATCCATAGGCCCAGTTGTGGCACCCCCTTGAATGCCACACTCATGCATTGGTATATCAGGCACCGCTGGCCCTACGTCCTCTCAGTTCCTTCTTACTGACAACTCCGACAGAGGGGCAGGAGGATGGGTAATGGAATGGACTTGAGCAACACACCTCGAAGAACAACAGTTACGAAAAAGGTGGGTAACTGTTTTTTCTTCTTCGAGTGCTTCTCATGTTGATTCCATTCTAGGTGACTCTCAAACAGTATCAATGGAGGCAAGCTCAGAGTTCACGGTCTTGTAGCTTGCAGCACTGTTCTGCCTAAGCCAGTGTTGTCTCGAGCTTGCTGGGTAAGCGCATAATGAAACGCAAACATATGGACAGGTGACCAGGTAGTGGCTCTACAGATCTCTTGGATTGGTTCCTGTGCCAGGAAGGCTGCTGATGACGCTTGTGCCCTAGTCGAGTGTGCCATCACGATCACCAGTGGAAGCACTTTCGCCAGCTCATAGCAGTAGTGGATGCAGGCCATGATCCCAGACGAAATCCTTTGAGCAGACACTGGGCGACCTTTCATTCTGCCTGCCACCGCAACGAACAACTGCATTGACTTACAGAAAGGCCTTGTTCTATCTCTGTAGAAGGCCAGTGCCCTCCTGACATCCAGGTTGCGTAGCCTGCACTCCTCATCTGACGCATGAGGCTTTGGAAAGAAGATGGGCAAGTATATGTCCTGGCCAGTATGAAACTGGGAAACAACCCTGGGCAGAAATGCTGGGTGTGGTCGCAGCTGGACCTTATCCTTGTAGAAAACTGTGTAGAAAACTCTGAAGTAAGCACCCTGATCTCGGACACCCTGCGGGCTGACGTTATCGCGACCAGGAATGAGATCTTCCAGGAGAGAAGCAGGAGAAAGCAGGAAGCCAGAGGCTCAAGTGGAGACCCCATGTGCCTCAACAACATGAGATTCAGGTCCCTGGGGGTGAGGTGAGGGATGGGATATCAGACATGTGCGTAGAGACGCTCCAAACCCTTTCAAAAACTGTGCCGTCATGTTGTGAATGAAGATTGACCTGCCTTGGAACGTAGGAGGAAAACCCGAGATAGTGGCCAGGTGGACCTTGATAGATGACAGGGACAAACCTTGGAGTTTGAGATGCAACAGATAATCCAGGATATCTTGCAGCGGGGCCTGCTTTGCCTGAATACATCATTCCGAGGCCCGGCACGGGAATCTTTTCCATTTGGCCAGGTAAGTCGCTACCCAGCAAGATCTGCTGGACACGGGCCAAGCATAAACCTTGGAGACTGGGGCATGCTCTGCCTGGGGCGTGGTCCCCACTGGGACTCTAAGGGCTTGTCTACACTTACATTTTATAGCCCTCTAACTTGCTGGCTCAGGGGTGTGAAAAATCACCCTCCTGAGCGCAGCAAGTCTGAGTGTTTTAAAGCTCTAGTGTAGACAGGCTCTGAGCGCTGGGAGCCACACTCCCAGCGCTCAGAGCTAATCCCCTTGTGGAGGTAGATTACCAGGAGCGCTGGGAGAGCGCGACCACACTCGCACTTCAAATCACTGCCGCGGGAGCGTTCCCGTGGCAGCGCTTTGAAGTTTCCAGTGTAGACATACCCTAAATTCTAACTACACTTAACAACTACTTACCACTAACTACAATAAACAAACTATTTACAAGACCCTAAGGCTCAAAGTGAGAAGAGACGAAACCTCTAGACCTTGCTATGCAAGGAAAGGTGCTCCAACTAACCACCACAGGCGGTAAGAAGGAACTGAGAGGGCATAGGGCCTGTGGTGCCTGATATACCGACGCATAAGCGTGGCACTCAAGGGGGTGCCACAGCTGGCCCTATGGATACCGCTAAGGCAAATATCTCCAACGACCACGCACATGGGCACACACACACCTAGAATGGAATAGACATGAGCAAGCACTCAAAGAAGAGCTCACAATTCTGGGAACCTCTGCAGATTGTCCAATTGGAAGACAGTTTTGGAGAAATTTGGGCCTGGACGGGTGTTGGGTTCACTCTGCAAAAAAGTAACTGGGTGGAGGAAGCCAGGGTGTGACCTGCATGCTTGTAAGGGTGGCTGGCAGGCAGTGTCAGGACTCCGACACAGAAGCATAGCATTTAAGGCATGCAGAGTTGCAGGGCAGGCGGTGATACAAGCCCTTACTGGTATGGGTTGAACCCCAAATGTTACAATAGATAGTAATTTTAAGAGGGGTCTTCTGCATCATGACTTTCAGAAAGAGAAAAGGGTCAAAATACCAGTCAAAATAACAAGGCTATTGAAATAATGAACTATTGGGAGAGAGGGAGAACAGTGTGTGAGGAGAACTCATTAACCTGTGGCATAGAGGTTAGGCACCCAGCCAGCACTGGTGACATTAACTTACTCCACTCCCCCTTGAGGGGATCTGGCTGGAGAGTGCTGAGGTGGTGCAGTTCAATCCCTCAAGAGTGCTGGAATGGGGAACCAGGCTCAGGAGCAGGAAAATGATCAGTGGAAACCACTGCTGAAAGAGGTGGTAGGGACTGCTTTACTTGCAAGGTCCCCAAGCTTCCCTGGCCCTGAAGAGTTCCTGGAATTAGCAGTAGTGTCTTACAGGAGACTAATGAAATAGGGCTTTCTTCCAAGGGTGGAGGAGTCAGCAACTGCACTCACCCATAGCAGTAATGAGTGGGGGTGGTTGGAGATAGGCAACAGCTGTGCAGAAGACAGACACTGAATCAGTGTAAAGAAGTCTTCAATCAAGCTGCCTCCAAAACCATGAGGAAAGAAAACACTGTCCTATATAGGATGGACTACGGATAAGAATTATATGCAGTGGAGGAAGCAGGTGAACAAATAGGAACAAAATAGTTATGCATGGGAGAGATGTGTAATTAGCATCAATTTATGCAAAAACAGTGTATCCCACACCAGCATAGTGTGGATCTTTGTTACTCTCTGATACCTGGCTCATAACAGTTTAAAAGTCTACTGCTGCTACCAAATAATAAAGTTATTCCTTTTACTGAAGTGGTAGAGACCTTTCTTCCCTGTAGTTCTCAAGTTCAAACCCCAGTTAGCCCAAGTGGGATCATTGTAATAGCACATTTCTTGTTTTCCTATATGAAACTCATTCTGATATTTCATTTCATGACATACCTTTTTTTCCTCCCCCCCAAACTACCCACCTCAGTAGTTTATCAGTAATTTCAGATGGCTGCAAAGAGCAGAAGTGACTACTGAATCTTAACACATTTTGGTAAAGAATATATCCAAGCAGTCCAACTTTATATCTGTGTTACAGAATACACAGTAAAATTTCAACATACTCCTTTTAGCTACTGTTAAGGTCAATTTTGTACATAGGCCCAGTTAAACTTACTAAGTTTGGGTACAGGTTGCGTATCCCAAAACTGGTATTTACGTTTGGTTGCTTCATCAATGTTTTTTGCTGGTCCCTGGCATGCAGAGAGCAGCTCCATAGCTCTCTGAATGTCTTGCAGCTTCTGCATTGGAATGGCTGGATTCTGTATGGAGAGACAACAGGGGAGAGAGGCTTGTTTACTACATGCACACTGAAAAAGTAGTGCATACACCATATTCATGTCACTTGCTTCAACTATATTTTGATAGTATTTTGTATATTTGCTCCCACCTTAAGTGAGGCACTGCCAGGGAGCTCAGGCCCAACATGTAGGTTTTGTTTGGGGAAAAACAATTTTTATAAACTTCCATTGTTTTAAAAGTAGTTTAATTATTTTGAAACATCCTCAAAATAGTTTGTTTACATTTAATAAAGAACTTACAGTGTTTGTAACACAAGTATTGCAGCATTACACTACTGTATGAGGACCACAGTGTGAGGCTAACCATTCTTTTTTCCACTGCTCCATCTGAACAAAGTTGAAATGGTAGAACAGAGTAAACCACTAAAAGCAAAGCTGACTTTTAAAATTCCCTCAGGTTTAACAATCTAATGTGTTATTAGTAATGCACATAAGGGCATTTAAAGTAGATAGATAGATACTGTAAAACATCACTTTAAAAAGTCAGCACTATTCCATATTTCTTTAATGCTATATTGCTACATATTTCAATGTTTACTGAGGTTCTATCATATGTTCTTTTTATTAATTCTTGCTTTACTTTTCAGTGTACAGGACATGCATGTGTTATAAGTCCATTCTACCAAGTGCTACAGCTAATGTTGTTAGCAAAGCTTCGAAACGAAGGGAGCATTTAAGAGTAAAGATAAAATAAACTAAAATTCTACTTAAAGAGTAAAGAGACTTTTACAGAACCATCTCCCCACCCTGACAGCCTAAAAGCTAGGGCTAAACTTTCCTAACTTTGGTGGCTAAAGCTAGGCATCTAAACCCTCATTTCAGAGATAAAGCTGAGCACCCACAGCTTCAATAAGAATTTTGCCCATGTAGTGTATACAGACGGCAAACCAGTGATAGGCACAGTGAGTTATACATCTGAAGGGACATTTCTATTTTTGTTTTTCTTAAGAAAAGTACCATCCTGGAGCAGATTTGGGTGTTTTGCCATCAACTTCAGGAGGGCCAGGATTTCACCCCAGGTTTTCTCCAAGGCAACAGATACAGTCTTTAGATTAGATTATATTACATATATTATTTAAAGTGTTCTATCCCAACTGTTGAATATACAAGCTCCCTGCTTCTCAGTTCCATATTAATTTGTCATCCTTTCATTATTTTACTTCCTTTCTAGGACTCATCTAGAGAAAACACCACAAGCTACAACTAATATGGACAAGCAGCAGGCTTCAGTACCATCCATCTCAAAGGCAGATCTACTGCATATAGTTTAAGAACTTTCAACTGCAAAAAAGCCTGCATGTCTTATCATTTAATACATATTTTTATCCTCTAAACATTATGCAGTTTCTCTAGATAACTAAAGTATTGCAAGATTTTCCTGTGAAAATAATACTATGAACATATTAATAAAACTGTTTTCTGGTCTGAAGGGTCAGTGCATTAACGTTTATTTACTTATGGGCTTTGGTTCACCCAGTTATGTCAACACTGTTACAGAAAAGAAAAAAAAAAAAAAGAAAAAAAAAAAAAGGCCTATTTCTAGATCCAAATCATAGTGACATGGATCAGTGTTCTCAACTAAAGATCAATATATATAGTTCCCATTGGTCTAGTATGAAGGTTTCTAAGGAAGTAGAGAGATTTTTAACGCTTACCAGTACACGGACTAATCAAATATCAATTCTGATGTGTCAATATTAGTATTTTGGATTTTTTTTTATTTTAGCAGTGTAAGCAGTTCCACTCACCACTGTAGCACCCCTTTGGTATCAGAAAGTGGCACTGTGTGCAGGGAAGGCCCCCTCTTGACCACTTCTTTAGCCTTGCAATGGCCTCTCTCTGTATGTGTCTCCCATGACCTAGCTCTCTGGCCAGGTGATCTCTTAAGTTCAGGTCTTTCCCATTATGGGGTAACAAAGTCCAACTACAGATTTTAAAATTTTATTAAGATAATGAAATCTACACCATTATCCAAGCAAAAGATCCTCCTGCTCCTCTCAGGCTACACTGAAGTTCCTTGTTCTTCACCCCTACTCCTGGGGACTGCAGATTTCTTTCTTTGGTCCTTTGGCTGAGCACTGCCTCTCCGGTCTTTCCCCCTGGAAGCCCTTCTTCCTAGCAGGTTTCCCCTCTGCCTCCCTTTCTACTCTAGCAGCTTCTTTCAGGGTCTTCCCTGCTTCTTACAAGCTCTATCTCAGGGTCTCTCACAGGAATCTAACCTGCTCCTTGTGGTTTTCTCAAGCCTGCCTTCACTAGGCCCTTCCCAAAGAGAGGGGGTTCCCTAGGCTCCTCTCTCCTGGGTTTCTTCTTTCACTGAGTTCTCAACCCTCTCTATGTAGTTCTCTCTGAGCCTTTCATAGCTTAGATCACGAATTGTAATTGAGCCACCAGATCAGGATAAGCTGGGGGTTAACTGCTAAAGTCACAGGCAAGGCTGAGCCCAACTCCCCTTGACAGGCCAGCCAGCCTGTTAATAGGGGATCATAATACACCTCTACCCCGATACAACGCTGTCCTCGGGAGCCAAAAAATCTTACCATGTTATAGGTGAAACCACATTATATCGAACTTGCTTTGATCCGCCGGAGTGCGCAGCCCCGCCCCCCCGGAGCGCTGCTTGACCGCGTTATATCCGAATTCACGTTATATCGGGCCGCGTTATATCGAGGTAGAGGTGTATTATTCTATTTCTATGCCAATAATAAATGACCATTATAAATAAGGTATCTGTCCACATAACATAGAAGAGAAGGGGGAAAAGGTATATATCATTCTGACGTTAACCATGACTAGTCTATGGATGATGGTCCTTCTTCCCAAGAGAGAAGGGTTCTTCACTCCTTGCAACTAATTCAGAGATAGGTATGTGGTATGAAATTTGTTTTCAGTTCCTTTTTATTTCTCCAAATAAAGGAGGAAAATTTTCTGAAGAAACACACGTAAACTGGAAAGCAATATCTGCTTTCTCAATTGAGAGCAAGTTCCTGCAGTTAAGAGGGACTGGCTAAACCCTCTGGAGGAATGGCACAAAAAGACTGAAAGAATAAAGCAAAATGTACAATTTTATGTGATCCAAAGGAAATTTATCTGATGTATAGAGGGAGCTGGTGGCCTTTTCTGCATAAAATGAAACTTTGTCAGTGCCTAGAGTCCTCCCTTATGCCACAGGAGGAGTTGTGGAGGAGGTTCATTCTGTTACATGTGCAGATATGCTGAACAGATGAGGGACTAGTTGGAAAGAATAAGGAATCAGTGACATTTTAAAGTGTATTGATATCACACTTCCTTTTGATCCTTAATGACTTTTTTTTAGTGAGACTGTTACAAGGGGGCAGTTTATGCATTATCCAAAAAAATCCAAGTAGCCACCTGTTGATGGAATAAATGGGCCAAAATTGGAAGAGGGCTACCATAAGGCAGCTGTAACCATAAGTTCAATTACCTGACTATTCAATTTACGGTGTTCCATCATTTAGAAAATGTCTCTAACTAACTACTACTTACTATCTAGATAGTTGTTTAAATGCCATTATCCTCAAGTCTGACATTTTAAAACACAGAAAACAGCTGTGGAAATGTCTGTGATTAGAACAAACATTGATAATACTTTAAGACAAACAGATTGTGGACAAAGACCATCCTGGACTAGAACATGGACAGGGCTTACTTACAGCAAAGAGACTATGTCCAATTTTGCTTGGCAAGTGAAGACAGAACAAAGATGTGGGCTATGGAGTGGAATTACCAATACAGAATATACACACTGTACTTTACGTTTACACCTCAAAACAGGTATTTTTGTTTTTTGCCTTTGCTCACACATGTATTAGTTCTTTGTGGCTCTCCATTTGTCTATTTGGGGGGTAGGGGGAAGACTGCCTTTTGCCACGCTCCTTGTCTGTGTTCTATGACATTTCCTCCTGCTGCTTTGTTTCTCTGTGTTCGCACATACTGCAGGCTGCAAAATAAAAGACTACAAAGTTAATTTCACATTGTAGCCTGCAACAGACACAAGGATAGACACGCTGTTTGTAGGCTAGAGAGGCAAAATGAAAAGATAAGATTTCAGAAAGCAAGGCGAGCTGTGTAAGGACTGCTACATATATGCCTAGACAGCAACAGCTGGGAAGTAAAAGGTCTCTCTTCTGTACAAAAGTTCCCGGATGGCACCTTTTGTGATGACAATATTCTGTCAATGCAGAGAGTTTGAAAGCTGAGTTTCATGCAAACATGCCCTTTCCTATATGTATTTGCGCCAATAGGATATTAAACAAGATATTTTCCAGGTCACACTTACAGAATTAATTCATACTACAAATGAGAGACCAGAGCATTCAAAAATATTTACAAACACAGACTGACTCAAACTTCAAGATATAACCCAATCATTAGCTGCCTGGGGTTAGGAAGAAACTCACCCCACAGGCATGTTATTGCTTAATTATCCAGTTATAGGGGTTTTATACCTTCCTATTCAACATTTTCATCAATGAGCTGGAAGTAAATGTAAAAAATCACTGCTGATTAATACTCGTGGATGATGCATAGATTGGTGGAGTGGTAAATAATGATGAGGATAGGGCAGTCGTACCAAGTGTTCCAGTTTGCTCTATAAATTGGACAAAACACATTTTTAATTTTAATAGGAATTATTTTCAGTGAGTTCTATGGCCTTGTGTTACACAGGGGGTCAGACTACATGATCACAAAGGTCTCTTCTGGCCTTGGAATCTATGAATATAGCCAAATGCAAAGTTATACATCTAGGAACAAGGAATGCAGGCCATACCTATAGAATGGGGGAGGGGGAACTGTATTACAGAAAATTGTGACTCTGAAAAGGATTTAGAGATCACCGTGGACATGCAACTTAACATGAGCTCCCAGTGTGATGCTGTACAAAAAGGGCTAATGTAATCCTTGGGTCTATAAACAGGGAACTAGTAAGTAGGGATAGGGAG